CTCCAGCTCCGCCGCGAGAAGCTCTTCTTCCGCTAGCATGGCGGCAAGCAGCTCCTCGTCTATCTCCTCATCTTCATCCTCGCTATAGGCCTCCTCGTCCTCGTTATAAACCTCCTCGTCCTCTATGTACACGTCCGCCGCAGCTTTCTTGGACGAATCTTTCCCGCTGGCAGGGTTTCTGCTTCCGCCATTCCCGGCGGAAATAGCGGATGATCCGCGCGCCTCCCCTGTTCTACCTGAAAACCCTGACGTCGTTCCTAAACCCTGGAATGGGTGGGATTTGGGGTTTGAGAGGGATCCATAGCGCTGCGGCACCCGGCGGACTTGACACGTCGGAAGGTTTCTTCGCCGAGCGCTTCGCGAGCGTTGCAAAGACGAAAACGATGTCGCGAATGGCGTCGCGGCGGCGATCCTGAGCGCGGTAGACGGCAGGGCTGCTGCCATTGAATCAATTCAGTACCGCCAGCAGCAGCAGGTGAGGGTGGGGAAGCAGCTCAGATGTTACTTTCCAGGATCTAGAAAAGGATGGGTGCGAATGTGACGTGGTTGTACGTAGCGCAAATAGAGTGAACAAGAGTGATTTGGGGAATAGCTTGCTATGATGCGTCAGTGTCAGGTCACGTGATGGATCAAGCAAGCGAGTGTGAGGGGAACTTGCCTAGGAGAAGCGGAGGAGCGACAAGCGATGAAGGAAATACATCCTCGCGCGAAACTGTTCGAAGGCTCGAAAGGGTTGAAAGGGATATCGACCGAGGTTGCTTCCACCGATTTCGCCCCGAGTTCCACATCTGCCTTTCGCACGTTTGGAGCCGAATCGGTTACTGGAACAATCCAAAATCGGCGCGTTCGCACGGGTTCCTTTCAATCCTCGCGAAGCAAGATTTCTGACTGGCGAGGGCGAGTCATGGTTACGAGTCCGTTACTCTCCGTTCGAGCCCGATCGCAGTTCCGTGTCATGTTCAAAATTACGTTCTAGCGCTTCACAGCGGTGAGTTTGCACCACGTACAGAAACGTTCTCAATCACATCACCATGTTCTCGTATCACCTAAAACAGGTCAAGTTGTTGATCCCAGAATTGCTTCTACCTCACCTTTCGGGAATTGCTTCGACAGGAGTTTCCTCACCTATTTAGCTAATAATACCGTTCTTATGAGATCACAGCGCAAGTGCTTCCTCTCCTCTTGCCTGTCGTCCCGTTGTCTGCGACTTGATCGCAGGAAGGTTACGGACGCGGAGCCGCTGCGGGAGCAAGTGATTCGCTACCTATTTGGGGTAGCTAGGAAAACGAGCAAGTGAATCTTAACGTCTTCCTGGTAGCTGGAAATTGCTACACTTGCGTAGACGTGGTCAACAGAGAAAATCAATCATTCAACCCTTGACCTGGCGGGAATGACACGTGCAAGTAGCATATCGGGCTCTTAAAGCCAGACCCGAGTGCGTTTCTCGACAATGCCTGGAATCAAGGAGTGCGTCCGAATGCCTAGATCTGAACGCATTTGAGTATAATCGGCCTTGGTGATTCCAAAACCTCGTACTGCTGCAGCTGTTTTCCCGCTAAAGTCTATCAACTATCAGAACGAAGAATACGCTTGTTGGGTCATATTATAAAGATGAGCAAGGCCGGAGGAGGCGGAGCGGGATCCGCGCTAGGTCGGGCGGCCATGGGGTCGGCAGCGGCTGGCCTGGCCGTGCAGCGACAGCGGGCCTTGCAGCAGCGGGTGGACGCTGACGTCATCAGCATGGTGGAGAATTTCACCAACATGATCAAAGCGGCCAAGGCAGGCTCTTTCTCCTTCTCTTAAACGTTTTTCTCCTCCTCTTAAACGTTTTTCTCCTTCTCTTAAACGTTTTTCTCCTTCTTTTAAACGTTTTTCTCCTTCTTTTATACGTTTTTCTCCTTCTCTTAAACGTGTTTCCCCAAGCAGCTGATTAGTTTAACTTTATCAGGACATTCTTTTTTCTGATGCATTGGATATTTGGAAACAAAATTTGGGGCTGACATCCCATTCCTGATAGTTGTCCCACCTACTTGCCTCTGTGACTCTTCTGAAAAGCAGTTTCGCTCAATCTGCGCTTTTCTGATCCCCCACCTCTCCGCACCCTTATCTTCTTCACCGTTCCTTCCCCCCCTCTCACTCGCCCCCCCCCCTCCCCCCACCTCGCGCCCTTCCCCAATCCTTTTCCCTCCCCGGCCCAACTCCCCCCCCATGCACCTCGTGTGTCCCCCTCAGATCAACGATCCAGTTCGCAACGCCCAGAAGGCACTGACTCATGCATTGACTCACAAGCCCTCTCGTGTACCTTGTTTGTCCCCCCATGCACCTGGTTTGCCCTCCTCAGATCAACGACCCTGTTCGCAACGCCCAGGAGGCGTACCAGATTGAAGTGCACTCCGCCAAGCTGGTGGGTGGTGGTGGTGATGGGGGTGATGGCTGGTGGTGGGGATGACTGTGATGGTGAAGGTGGTGATGGTAGTGGGTGGTTGTAGTGGTGATGGTATGGTGGTCATCACTATGAGCAAGCTAATGTGGGTACCATCGTATTGGTACCTCTCCTCTCTGGAATGGAATTTTCTCTTCTTTCTCACTATTTTGCCACTGTTGTGGTGATCAGTCGTCTCATTAGAAAGCTTTGACATGTATGTTTCTTACTCGCATTGTTCCTGCTGATAGTTGGGAGTGGCAGAGTCACTCCTAAGCTGTTGATGCAGTTGATGCAGACTATGTGTGGATGCCAGCATTGGGTGTTAGGGTTTCACATGCTTTCACACTGCGGCTTTCCGTTTGCTGCTTTCGCATTGCTGCTTTGTGTGGCAGGTGGGAGCGGCTGAGTCTCTTCTGAAGCTCGTGGCGCAGTTGAAGCAGACAGTTGTGTTTGCGGATATGTCTGCATTGAATGCGAGTGTGGAAAAGCACAAAGAAGAGTTCAAGGAGGAGGCCCGTGTGGCCAATGAGGTGGTTGCATGTGTTGGGGAAAAGGCTGCAGCATTATTGCATGAACTCGAAAATGTGTATTACACATCCAAGCTTAAATGAAGCGCTCAAGCTAGTTGACTAAGGTCAGGAAGCTAGTTAAGTGTTCATGCAGCTAGTTGCCATACACGAGGACGCGTGGGGGAAGGCGGGAGGAGGCGTGAGCGGCGGAAGTGGTCGTCATTTAGCGACGGTGGCGGAAAGCGTTGGCGACGGCGAAGGGAAGCGTGGGCGTGTGCGTGGGGAGGTGTGTGGGAGACGGTGGGGAGAAGCGTGGGTGACGTGTCCTAGGAGGAGACCTAAATGGGCCGTAGGATTTACTATGAATAAATGTGAAAGTGCTCATGGCCTATGCTTTAATGGCTTTTTATTCCATCTCTTCGCACGATCTAATCCCTTAGCCTACCATCGGTGCAAGCACAACCTGAATTACGGAAGAAGCAAACTGTGCACACTTTGAGAGGAGGTTCCTTCAGGAGGGTGTGGTTGGGACTCTCGCCAACTGTACTAGTTCCGCCCCACGACTCCGAGTTTTTTGCGCGATGTTTTCTGGTAACCAGCCTGGCTCGGGAAGTCAAACTGCGGGTTCAGAAGGCAAACTGTGCACAGTTTGCCTTCCAGTTTTTGTAATTCAGGTCTTGGGCTTTAAAGTGTCAGCGGAGATCTCTAGTCGAGTACGCATGGCGCGGCAGGGCGCAAAAGGCATTTCCCTCGTTCTTGCCGCCCTACCATGACAGGATGGTGGTGAAAGCCGTCTCCCTTGTTGGTGGAAGCCTTCGCACACCATTCGCACAAACTTCCGCGCACGCTTTCGCGCAAGCGCGTTGCACAGCAGCACCATTGCGGCGAAATTGAAGTTGACCCAAGAAAACACCGCTGCTATGCAACAATTCGAATCCCCTCCTCCCTCTCTCGCAACTTCGTATTCTTTCTTCGGAATAATGCTGTTTGCCGAGTCGCCAGTAGTAGCAACCTACAGCTGAGCCCTTACCTTACGCTCGAGCGCTAGCTGCGTCGCCTGAACCTCTTCGGCCGCTCCCTCGTCGCCTCTCTCACGACTCTCGCGACGCCGTTTGTCGCATTCCCACACGTCGCGCGGGATGGCCGCCGAACCGCTGGAAGCGCCGGCTCCTCCCATCCTGCCGTTCGAAGGCAGTACTGTTACTCCTAATACTGCGTCTATTAATACCGCGGATATCATTAATGAGATGTTTAGTTCTACTATCGCCGTGTTTCTTGCCGCATTAGCCGCGCTGTTGTGCTACTGCATCTACGTCATTCTCATCAAGCCACTGCGCTTTCGTCGGCATTGCACGAAGCAAGGCATTCCCCTCCTTCCTTTTAGGTAATATCTGGAACTCCCACAATACTCCTACAGCAAGAAACAGGTCTTTCTCTTACTCCCGTTCTGCTGTTTTGTAGAACTCCCAAAACATTTTTAGACATTTTACGTCAAACTTTCCTGTACGAACCCGCGTTCAGCTTGAAAGTTTGAACTCCCTCCTTGCCGTTTCCTCGTTTCATCGCCCGCACGTGACTCCTAACACTGAGGGTCAAAGACCTTTCACGCTAATGCTTCTCACGTAAATGCACTTGGCTCTAATGCCTCCCAAATACAGCGTTTATTGCTACACCAGCAGTAATTTTTCAGGTAGTAATTACCCGTTCCTATCCCTGTAAGGGACATATGCTTCTCAACAGCATCCTTTACTTGTCCCGCCGCCAGTTTTCCTCGAGGTGTTTTTGGATAATCTCAAAAACACCTTCTAAATACTCTTCCTGCTATTTTCTTTCCTATCCCTTTCTCTCACTTCCTCTCCGCCTTCCGCAATCCTCTCCCTTTCCTCTCCCTTCCTTCCCTTCTTCTCCCTTTCACTCCCTTCCGCTCCCTCCCTCGTCCGTCCTCCCCTTTCCCCTTCCCTCCCTTTCATTATGTCTCCCTCCTTCGCTCTCGCAGGCCTCGCATTGGGAAGCTTCCAGAATTCGACAATCAAGGCACCTTTAGAGTTTACTCACCCCGTCCTCCCATGTACTCCCCTTTTCTGTCCCTTTTAAACCCCTTCCCCCCCACTCTCCTCCCTCTCCCTCTCCCTCGTTCTCGCAGGCCTCTCATTGGGCAGCTTCCAGAATTCGCCAATCGCGAGCCTAAGCCCATACCTGCGTCCGAGCCTGCGCCTCTAGGTCCGGCAACCGTCAGCCCGCTGCTTTGGAAGTGGAGGTGCCAGCTGGGAACGGTCTTTGGCCTCTCCATCGGCCCCTTCCAGCCGCTCATCGTTGCCGAGCCTGATCTCTTCCACCAGGCACGTAATGGGGACAGTGAGTAGTGCTCTCACTCGCTCATTAGTGTTCTTCCATGTGTGCAAGTGGAGGTGTCAGCTAGGGACGGTTTTCGGCCCCTTCCAGCCGCTCGTCGTTGCCGAGCCTGATTTCTTCCACCAGAGATCAGAAACCCTCATCGTCGCCAGCTGGGGACGGTCATTGCCCAACCCTCATCGAGCCGGATCTCTTTCACCAGACACGTGCCAGCTGGGGACGGTCAGGAAAAAGAAACCCTCCCTTTCCCTCCGTCCCATTCCCCACTCCCATTTTACTCCCCTTCCGCATATGCTCAGATCCTTATAGCCAAAAACTCCTCCTTTCAGAAGAATCAGAACGCCAGGCGGGTGGTGAGCTTCCTGGCGAACGGGCTGGTGTTCTCTGATGGAGCCTTCTGGGCGCGGCAGCGCAAGATGATCAGCCCTGCCTTCAGCCCCTCGTACCTCAAGGTGAGTGCGGTTGCCCTGCCCCGCTCTGCTGCCCGTCTTACCTCAAGGTGAGTGTGTTGAGACGTTGTGTGGCATGTGATTAAAGGTGTGTTTTGAATCGTATCAAAACGTTTCTTTTTATCACGCGACCTGCCCCGCGTTCAGCCCCTCCTGCCTCAAGGTGACTGCGATGAGACATTGTGTGGCATGGCGTGGGTGGGCTATCTAGTAAGTGCCAGGCTAATTGAACAGCATAGGATGGGTGGGCGTGGTACAGACAGCATAGGATGGGTGGGGCAAGGATGGGTGGGGCAAGGATGGGTGGGGCAAGGATGGGTGGGGCAAGGATGGGTGGGGCAAGGATGGGTGGGGCAAGGGGCTACATGGAGCATAGGTAACGAGCAGGCTCAACATGCTTAATCCCAAGCTCAAGTTCTTACAGCAACATTGGGGCGGTCAGATTTTGAGTCGACTCAAAAAGCAACATGTGACAGCGGTGCAGTCAGCCCCACTGGCGGGCAGGGTGCAGAGTGGTGGGCTTCCTGGCGAGCAGCACACAGGGAGGTGCAGTAGTAATGGAGGAGCAAACGCGCAGAGCGGTGTAATAGTGAGTTCTCACATGGGGTATCGGCCTTCCTCATTTCCCCCTTCATCCCCTCTTCATCTCCTTCCCCTCCTCCTGTCCCATCCTCTCCTCTTACCCCAACCCCTTCCAACCCACCACAGCACGCAGTGACAGTGATGGACGAGCAAGCGCGCAGGGCGGTGCAGCAGTGGGTGCACACCGTAACCCAAGCCACTGGCAGCAGCCACTGCAGTAGCAGTAACAGCAGCAGCAGCAGCGGCAGCGGCAGCGGCAGCGGCAGTGGCAGTGGCAGCGGCAGTGGCAGCGGCAGTGGCAGCGGCAGTGGCAGTGGCAGCGGCAGTGGCAGTGGCAGCGGCAGTGGCAGTGGCAGCGGCAGCGGCAGCGGGAGTGGCGACGGCAGCGGCGGCCTCAGCAGCAGCGGGGGGTGTGAGATTGACATGTATCCTGTCTTCACCGCTCTCACTCTTGGCATCATTGGCCTTGCTGCCTTTGGCTCCCCTGTCAGCAGCAGAGGGGCGCGCAGCTTATGTGCTAACAGCAGCAGGGCGAGACCTGCTAGCAGTGACGGGAGGGGGACGGAGGAGGAGGGGCAGGGAGGGAGTGAGGAGAGGCGGGCAGAGGAGGAGGGGAGGAGTGTGAGGGAGGTATACGAGGCTGTGAGCACGCTCAGCACTGGAAGCACAGAGCGTTTCTTCTCAGGCCGCTTCCTCATCCCTTTGTATACGTGAGTTGGTTTGGTGGGATGTCAAAACAGGGTTGCTCCTTCAGTCCGCTCTGCCACTCGCAGCACTCGCATCGCAGCACACAGCGCTTCTTCTCTCGTCGTTTTCTCATCCCCTTCCACACGTGAGCCCCGCGTCTCCCCCCTCCCCCCCTCCCCCCCTCTCCCCCTCTCCCCCTCTCCCCCTCTCCCCCTCTCCCCCTCTCCCCCTCTCCCCACGTGCCTTCAGGTGGCTACCCACACAGGAGAACAGAGCGCTGCAGCAAGCAGGGGAGAGAACTTTCCCGTACTCTCAACTGCTTGCTGAGAAGATGGATATGAAGTTCCCGTACTCTCATATCCATCTCCTTCCCCCCGTGTTTCCGTGCGTGTGTCTTGTCTCCCACGTGCCATCAGGTGGCTACCCACCCAGGAGAACAGAGCAGTGCAGCAAGCAGGGGAGAGAACTACTGAGGCGTCTAATTGAGATGTTGTCTTGCCCTTTGCCCCTGCGTCTCCCCCCACTCCCCCGCTCCCCACGTGTTTTGTCTCCCATGTGCCATCAGGTGGCTACCCACCCAGGAGAACAGAGCGCTGCAGCAAGCAGGGGAGAAAGTAAAGCGGCTGTGTCTGGACCTCATTGCGCGGCGGCGACAGGAACAAGCGGTGAGAGCTTGAAGGCGCTGGCTTGAATGGGTGGGAGCAGGAGAGGAGAGAGAGTGTCACAGCTAGCAACAGGAGAGAGGGTGAGGCGGCTGTCTGTCTCTGGACCTCATTGCCAGTGATGCTGGCAGCGATGCTGGCAGTGATGCTGGCAGCAAGGGATGGCTGTCGGCATGGGCTGTGCGTCGCAGCAGCAACCAAATGCATCAATCCATCCCCCCTTCCCTTCCTCCGTCCGTGGCCTGTGTTCCGCCATTCTCCCTACCCCCAAGGGCGCACCAAGGAGGGACCTCCTGGCAGTGATGCTGGCAGCAAGGGATGACGTCAGCAACGAGCAGATGACTGACCAGCAGCTGGTGGACGAATGCGTCACCTTCCTTGTGGCCGGTACAGTGCGGTGCGGTGCGGTGTTAGGGGGAGTTGTGCGGTGCTGGGTGGTGGGCGGATGGTGCTGTGTGGTGATGAAAGGTGCTGTATGGTGATGGAGTGTATGTGTCAGCAACGAGCAGATGACCAACCAGCAGCTGGTGGACGAGTGTGTCACGTTCCTTGTGGCCGGTACGGTGCAGTTCGGTGCTGGGTTGTGCTGGGGTGTGCGTGGGTACTGCTATGCGGTGATGAGAGGTGCTGTGTGAGTGGTGCTTTGCGTGCGGTGCTAGGCGGTGCTGAATGATGGTGATGGGTGCAGGTGGAGTGCACGTGGTGATTGTGCTGCGGTGATGTGGGATGAAGTTCGGTTCGGTAGCATTTGCTGATGGTTGGTGACCGGTGGTGATGGGTAATGTGATAAAGGTGTAGTTTTGAGACGTCTCAAAATTACACTTGTACCGATGGTGATGGGTGACAGTGCTGGCCTTACAGCAAGTGCTATGCCTGATGATATGAGTGGAAGGAGAGGGGAGAGACATTGTGTCATGCTCCCATTCTCCCATGCTCCCGCGCTCCCATGCTCCCGTCCTTTCTCCACCCCTCCCATTCACAGGTCACCGTACAACAGCAAAACTACACACCTGTGCCGTCTACCTGCTGACTGACTGCTACCCGTAGTGGCAGAGGCGGGTGAGGGGGGAAGCACAGGTGTGACATAGCCCATCGTTTTTCCACCCCTCCCTCCCTCCCATTCCTTCAGGTCACGAGACAACAGCCAAGTTACTTACCTGGACTGTGTACCTGCTTGCACGCTATCCTGAGTGGCAGCGGCGGGTGAGGGAGGAGGTGTGGCGGGTGATGGGGAGAGAGGAGACGTCTGAAGGTGGGGGAGGAGGAGGAGGAGGAGGAGGAGGGGACGGCGAACAGGGAGGGAGGGGCGGAGAAACTGGGGGTAGGAGGGGAGAAGGGGGAGGTAGGAGGGGAAGGGGAGAAGGAAGCGTTGCGAGGGGAAGTGGCGCAGGGCGACAGGAGGAGGGGGGGCGGAGGGAAGGTGACGTGGGAGCAAGTGGGGCGGTTGAGCGAGATGCACATGGTGCTGTTGGAAACACTCAGACTCTTCCCCCCAACCCCTGCCATCACCCGCGAAGCAAGCAAGGTGAGACCCGTGCAATTCAGTTCTGTGTAGGTATGACCGTACGAATGCAATTGATCATGCGTGTGAGCATGTGCCTAGTAGGACACTTGGGCAAGTGGGGCGGTTGAGCGAGATGCACATGGTGCTGCTAGAAACACTCAGACTCTTCCTTAGACACTGCGGCTCTTCTCTTCCCCCCAACCCCTGCCATCACGCGCGAAGCAAGCAAGGCACGCTTGCATTTCCACCCCTTCCCTGTTGCAGCACGTCTCCCGGTGACCACACCTGCTCCCCTGGTCCCTTCATTGCTGCGCCCCTACTCTCTCCCTGCAGGCACGCGCACCACTACAGCCATCGGCAGCACAGCGCAGAGAAAAGCGGTAGCTCTTCATCCCCACCCCTTCCCCCACCCCTTCCCCCACCCCTTCCCCCACACCAGGACGTCTCCCTGGGCCCCTACTCTCTCCCCGCAGGCACACGCATCACTATGGCCATCGCCCTAGCGCAGAGCAGAGCGATAGCTCTTCATCCCCTCCCCTGTCCCTCCCTGTTCCCCACACCAGGACGTCTCCCTGGGCCCCTACTCTCTCCCCGCAGGCACACGCATCACTATGGCCATCGCCCTAGTGCACAGCGACCCGCGCTTCTGGGGGAAGGACGCTCTAGAGTTCAACCCAGCACGCTTCAAAGGTACAGACGCAGAGGTTTGAGCCTTCAAAGGTGAGGTTTGAGCCTTGAGGCGTCAAGGTACAGAGGTGGGCAGCTCAGTGGTTCAAGTGGTCGAGATTCAAGGATGGGCAGGAGAGCAATCGCCCTAGCGTAGAGCGACCCTCGCTATTTGGTGGGAGGACGCGTAACCTAGCACGCTCCCAAGGTGGGTGGGGCTGACTGGTGCACAGGGAAGCATGCTGTGAGGTCAAGGGGGTGAGGTTCACAGAGCAGAAGAATAGCCAAATGCTATTGTATAGAAATGCTGTCCCTAGGCGGTGCATTGGGCCCACCTTAGAGCCACCTCAAAAGCACCGGCCCTTCCTCTCCTCTCCCCATGACTCCCCACAGATGGGATACAGGGAGCATGCTCGCACCCACAGGCCTTTCTGCCATTCTCAGCGGGCCCTCGGGATTGCATCGGCTCAAACTTTGCTCTCTCGGAGGCCAAGGTGGTTCTTGCACACATGGTGAGTCGCCTAGAGTGGGAGCTCTCACCCACTTATGTTCACTTGCCGACTATGGGAATCGCGCTTAGCCCTAAATACGGGATGCCGCTTCGGATGCGGCTAGTTGAGTAGTAGCCAACTCCGTTCGGGTTCGGTGATGCTGGTAGGGCATGAAAGGGCCGGAACCCACCCACCCATCCACACTGGGTGTTGGTGTCACACCTGCACGCGTTGGTGCGACTTTCAGCTGGTTTTAGGGACTGCATCGGCTCTCTACCTGCATTGGCCCTTGGCTAACTTTGCTCTCACAAAGTACATTGTGGTGCATCTCCTCAGTCGAGTTGACTGGAGCTCTAGCCACCATTATTATGTGGTAGTAGTACGGTAACGTATGTACACTTGCCGAGTGTACCATATCGATCGCACTTGGCCCAAAGTAATGTATGCGTGTCTCAACGAGGCTGTATGAACAACCAATGGTGATGTTTGTGTTCACTGTGCATCATCAAATTTATCATACAATGTAGTCGTTTTGTGTGCGATGTGCCAATATATGTTTTGTAGAAGTAGCTTGAAGTACTTTAGTAGTAAATCATGGGTGCGCTCATCGAAAATCGTTGAACCGTGTACCGGTGTCTTCCACAACGACGAGTCTGACATGGTCAATTGCTTCCCGCCAAGCTATTTTTCCCGCTTCACTGCTCGCCAGCAACTATCCTGCTGCTGACACACCTTCCAGTTTCGAAGACCAATCACCGTTAGTTAAAAGCGACTCGATTTCCAGTTTGAATCTGCATATGAGCATGGAGGGATGGAGGTAGTACTTTCGTGCCTGAATCATGTCAAATAGGAACGAAATGTCTCTAAGACTCTGTCTTGGGAGCAGATTAAGAATCCACTGAGATAGAGGCTTGTGTCTAACGAGGCTGCTACCCAAAAACTCGTTACCGTGACCTGTACTCGTTTGAATGACAGGTGCTGGCGGCAACGGCGGCAGCGCCGCAGGGGGCACTACCGCGACAAGCGCCAGTGCGGCAGGAGGCAGTGGTACCGCGGCACGCGGAGGCAGCAGGTGGGCGGGAGACGATGTGGCTGTTCGCGTGTTCCCGTCGCCGTCTCCGCGAAGAAAACACCAGTCGCTTTCGCGAGTAACCCATCCGTCGCCGCTTTCGCCAACTACTACCTCACAGTCAGTCACCCCATCCCGACTGTTTGCATCGCCACCCGCTTGTCGCGAAAGATCTTCGCCGTATCGTGACAGTAACGATAGCTACAGTAAACGAGCAAGACGTAGTTCGGACGAACGCGAGCGGGGAAGCGGCGGCAGCGCGAGAGGTGGCGCGGGAGAAACGCAACTACGGGACCGGAGTTGTGGCGCAAGGGAGGTCCGCGCGTGGACGTGCCCCGCTGGCTCCGCTTCCGCCGTTCCGCCGCTGTTCCGCTTGCGCGCGCTGAACAGGCTCCCTCGCGCAGCAGCAGGCGGTGGCTGCGTCTCCCTCCTGCTTATAATCGTCCTCGTTTTATTCACCTTCGGTACTATCCTCCCTTATTTGCAATCCGAGCGACAATTTCTCGAAGACGTTTTGGAGGAAGCGCGGGCAGCCTTCCGACGCCAAAATTTCATGAAACCGGTCCAGTTGCCGGACGCCACGTCAACTTTTTCCGAGGTGCCCGATGTTGTCGGGCAGCGGCGGTTTAGGCAGCTTCTGAGCGTCGAAGATGGGGGAGGTGGGGGGGGCGGGGAGGGCGGAGAAGGCGGGAAAGGCGGGGAGGGGGCGGGGGGCGCAGCCTTGGAAGGAGGACGGGTTTGGAATCAGCAGCCGGAGGAGGAGCGGCGGCGGCGGCAGCAGGAGCAGCAGGAACAGGAACAGGGGGGGTCCGGTTCCGGTTCTGTGCTCGAAATGGTGGTAAGCTCGACAGTCGAGTCGTCGTCAGGCAATGTTCCTACTACTACGAGTACCGGGTCCGCTATTAGCGAGTACAATCTCTTCTTGGATTCTCCCGAGATTCAGCGCGAGTTGCGCGCAGTGGAGGAGCGCAGCGGCATTCCCTGGGACTCCCTTCCCGCCGCCTGGTGGGGCGACGCCGCGCCATGGCCGAAACTGCCAGGAAGCTACCTCTGGGACGACCGTGGCAGCAGCGAGAGCGACAGTAGCGGAAGTGACAATAGCGAGAGCGGGAACGACAGTAACTCGGGAGCGCTCCCCGCTCCCCATACCCCGCGCCGCCGTCGCTTCCTGTTCTTCTCTCTGCGCAACGAGGCGTGCGCGGGCGTGGCGCACACGCGCACCAGCCTCGCGTGCCAGCTGTCCGTCGCGCGCGCGCTGCGCCGCACGCTGCTGGTGGACGCGTCCAAGTGCACCGCGCCCGAGCACGAGCGCGCAGAGCGCGCGCCGGGAGGCGACGCGGCTGTCGATGTGGAAGCGTCCACTCTGGGCAGCCCCGCGCCCGAGCACGAGCGCGCGCGCGCCGCCGGCACGCGCCGGCACGTGCAGCCCCTGTTCGCGTACTTCGATCTGGCGCGCGTGAGCCTTGCGCCAATGGCTCCGCTGCAGCTGTTCGCGCAAGAGAGCGCGCAGTGGGGGGAGCGGAACGGAGAAGGGGCGGTGGGGGTGCAAGGGGAGCAGATGAAGAACGGGGAGGAGTGGGGAAATGGGGAGAATGGGGAGAATGGCACGCGGGCACGAAGGAGGGAGATGGGGGAGGAGATGCACGGGCAGGCGGAGCGCCTTACTGCTGCAATAGCTCCGGAATCGGCAACCCTGGAGGATCTGCTTCGGCTATCCGAGCCTGTGCTGCTGGTTCGGCAGGCAGCCACGGGATTCGCTGACTGTGAGGACCCCAGGAACGGCGGCCAGGTGGCTTCTGATTGGTCGGCCATAGAGTACCGGCCGGAGCTGTGGGCGGTAGTGGGGCAGATTATAGCGAGTATGGATGGAGGGGACTACGATGCTGTACATGTGAGGCGGGGGGATAAGGCGAGGGATACGAGTCGCTGGCCCAACCTTGCTCAGGACACCTCTGTTGAAGCGTAAGCTGCTTGATACACTTCTGTTGTTGTGAAGTTGTTTAATACACTTATAGCGAGTATGGATGGAGGGGACTACGCTGCTGTGCATGTGAGGCGGGGGATAAGGCGAGGGATACGACCCGCTGGCCCAACCTTGCCCGGGACACCTTTGTTGAAATGTAAGCTGCTTGATACACTTCTGCTCAATCACGTGAAAGAAGTGATATTTTGAGACGCCTCATAAAATCACTTCTTTCACCAACCTTGCTCGAGACACCTCTGTTGAAGTGTAAGCTGCTTGGCACCCTTCTCTTGCTTGCTGTGCTTGGATATCGACCTTCCCTGCCCTCCCCTTCCTCTCCCTCCCTCGAGCTAGCAGAGGATCGTCAGTGATCTCCCTCCTGATTCACATAGACCCCTTTTGAGTCGACTCAAAAGTCATCCCGACGTTCCCTGCCCTCAGCTTCCTCTCCCTCCCTCCAGCTAACAGACGAACGACTTTCCCTCGAGCTAACAGAGGAACGTCGGTGATCTCTCTCCTGATTCACATAGATCCCTGCTTCATCCCGCCAGGGTAATCTGTGTATACTGCGAGTGGCGAGGGCCAATCCTTCTTTGACTGTCTCGCCCATACACTTGTGCCCATCTATGCGTGCCCTCCCTCTGCCCTCCCCTTCCTCTCCCTCCCTCAGGCTAGCACAAAAGCTCCCCCGCCTCATTCCCCCTGGGCGATCTGTGTACATTGCGAGTGACGAGGTCCCCTCATTTTTCCACCGTCTTGCCCTTCCCCTTTCACTCCACCCTCCTTTTGCTTGCCCTCCCTCAGCCTAGCACAGAAGCTCCCCCACCTCATCCCCCCTGGGCGCTCAGTGTACATTGCGAATGACGAGGCCCCTTCCTTCTTTGACCGCCTCCCCGATCCCCTTTGCCCACCTCCCTCTTTCCCCCGCCCCACACGCTTCATCTCACTTCCCCAGCCTAGCACAGAAGCTCCCCCGCCTCATCCCTCCTGGGCGCTCAGTGTACATTGCGAGTGACGAGTCCCCCTCCTTCTTTGACCCGCTGCGAGCGAGTCGAGGAGGGCAGGGGGGAGAAGAGGGCGGTGGAGGGCAAGGCGCGCAAGGGGAGAAGGGGGGCGGAGAGGGGCAAGGGGCGCATGGGGGAGAAGAAGGGCAACGCGAGAAGGGGGGGAATGGGGGACAAGGGGATGGAGGGAAGGGCGGGGGCGGAGGGGGCCTGTACCGGGTGCATATGCTGGGGGACTATGCGCACCTGTGGGGGGAAGGCAGTGACTGGGGGAGGGCGCAACTGGCGCTCATGGAGGGGCAGGGGGAGGTGGCATTTGATTCTTACATGGAGGTGAGTTCTGTTGAGACTTATGGAAGGCCTGGGGGGGTGGCATTTCTTGCATGCATGGAGGTGAGGCCTTTGTGGGTTGTGAGAGTTAAGGAAACTAATGTATGAATGTTGAGAAGATTAAATTTACTGGGCTGGGACATGGAGGGCTGGAAGAAGTGGCGGCGTGTTGCTTTAAAGCTTGCATGGAGGTGGCGGCATGTGGCTTTGTAACACTGCGAGAAGAGGTGCTGCTCTGAAGTTTGTTGTGCTGTGACGTGATGATTCTTTATGCACCCTCTTTGTCTTTCAGTACATTTCACAGCCCGAATGTGATGTCATTTATGGCCATTGCCTTTCTCCCTCTTTCAATCGAATGCCCTTCTTACCTTGAATGTAACGTCCTTCAGGCTATAGTGGATTACTCCGTCTTTGCGGCTGCCCGAAGAAGAGTCGAAACTTTCAATGACATAACAACTGATCCTCGGAATGGCATTTCATTGTGACTACAACGTACATTTGATGAAGCACCAACTTTGGAACCCAAAAATAGGGCACACGTGTTCCCTGAAACGGCCGAGCTATATTGACTAACTATCTCTCAAATGCACGTTTCCCAGCCGCGTTCTGTGCGCCCTTGATAGTTTCTGTTGATGGATTTGAGATGGTGGGCGCTGAGAAGATCTGCAACTTTGAAGAAGCAGTTATTTTTGTGCTGTAGTAGTTCTAGAAGTTGGGTGTTTATTAGCTGCAAGCATTCGATCATCTTATGCCGAAATTGTCAGAAGCTGACGGCGATGAATGACCGCAGTCAGAATGTTTGTTTTGATTTGGCGAAAATCATCGAAGTTTTGCCTCTTTGAGCTGACGGCCACATCGCTCAAGCGATTTCGCCAGAGCCTTCAACGGGTCCAAGCAGTCAAAATTTTGTTCAGGAACCCGCAGAGACAAGGAGGGCCTTCGAAGAAATGTACCACGGGGTGCGACGAAACGTCAAACCTCTCGTGGAACTCGTAAAATTTTTCAGCACCGTCCCTTGTGACCGTTCGGGCTCACAACGGCAAGGGATTTTGCGTTGGGGAGGCTCACCGGACGCGACACTCGCTCCACACACCTGGCAACACAATGCGACGAGCGAAAGAACAACGACTCCTGGTCACCTGGAAACCGTCGCTCAAGGTCGGCCACAACCAGAACACCCTTCCCTTCTGACAGCGAAAATCGCCCACGAGACCAGCAAATGGATAAGGTGCTTTCGGAGCACCCTTGCGCGAACACAAGTTACCCGCCCTCCTGCAAGTTGGTCGGTTCGCGCTGATTACATACACTCCACCGAGCCGCATTTCGTGACATTCCATCCAGAGAGAATTGCCACGGCGCGGGCTTTGGTCTCGCGAATTTTTTTCATCGCGCTAAAATTTTTGGGTTGCGTAGCAGCCTTATACATTCGTTTTCACTTTTCGGTTGGCTGATGTGAACAGTGAATTTCTCCCATCAATTATGAAAGAAATCACTATTCACGGTAACTTCCCCGAAAAAATGAAAACAAATGTTTCCAACCATTCCATAATCGTCGATAAGTACGGCGAATGGAACAATTGGACAATCGTTCTAGCACTAATGACGATACCAAATGGCCCACGAACACAAAAACAACACAGAAAATCTGTACAACGGTACCACCTAAAGACACACACATACACAAATGAGTACAAAATCGATGGTGTACAAGAACCGTCGTACATGTTCTGAGGGGAATACAAAATGCATCAATGCAGCAACTGAGATTGATATGGTACGGAAGAGGCGAGCAAAGCTGCCCCACCGACGATCACAATCCCAGTTGCATACACGAGGCACTTAGTACCACACCCCCGAAACAAGCACAGACGATAACACACAAACCGTCACAAAAACAAAGGACAACGATTGAGAATGTTTTAAAGCGAATACTAAATGCATCAATGCTGCAACTAAGATTGATATGGTACGGAAGAGGCTAGCAAAGCTGCCCCACCGACGATCACAATCCGAGTTGCATTCACGAGGCACTTAGCACCACACCTCGAAACAAACACCACACACATATGCACATGTACGTACTCACACACATACACACACACAACGCAAAAAGCATACAGCTATGGTAATAAGCATGCAAGCGTAATGGATGAAGTTCAGCCCTGTGTAAATCATCACTAGCTTGTGCCCCATTCCCCTCCCTCCCTCCCTCCCTCCCTCCCTCCCTCCCTCCCTCCCTCCCTCCCTCCCTCCCTCCCTCCCTCCTCTCCCTTCTCCCCATCCCTTTTCTCCGCAAGAAAAGAAGACTGGAGCTTGAACTCCCTGCACAGGAAAGAAGAAACAGCGAATGCAACTCACTCTCTGCACAAACAAAAACAAAATCAAAGAATACAACTTGCATGAGTTGCACAAAGAAACAAAATCAGAGAATGCAGATTCCATGACGCACAAGAAACAAATGGTTCGATACACTAAAAAACAACGTAAGCGGAACAGAAATTGAAGCTGAAGAATGCAATATACAAACGAAAGATGAGTGATGGAAACATTTACATTTGGCATCTTACAAATGTGACTTGATAGTAAACATTATGTCAGAATGCATGCAAAACCTTGCGGCCACCCTTGCATTCACCTCAACATTCACCCTTACGATCATCCTCACACATGCGCGCACTCACGCTTGGAATCATACTTGCACTCGCCTTCGCATTCACCATTGCAATCACACCCGCACTATCGCGCTCAACCTCTAAACCCACACACACACCCGCAGCACTCAGGCACGCATTCTCCCTCGCACTCACCCTCACATTCGCCCTCACTCTCATATCCACACTCACGCTCGCATTCGCCCTCGCACTCACACCAGCACTCTCGCGCTCACTCTCGCGCGCCCTCTTGCGCGCGCTCTCACGCCTCTCTCGCACGCTCCCTCATGCGCAAACTCACGCGCCCTCACGCGCTCGCTCGCGCGCTCCCTCGCGCGCTCCCTTGCGCGAACTCTCGCGCACTCTCCCGCGCGCTCCCTCACGCACTCTTTCGCTCGCACTCTCGAGCGCACTCTCATGCGCTCTCTCTCGCGCACTCTCCGGCGGCGCTCCATCACGCGCTCTCTCACGCGCGCTCTCACGCGCTCCCTCACGCGTGCTCTCACGCGCTCTCTCCCGCGCTCCCTTGCGCGCACTCTCGCACGCACTCTCGCGCGCGCTCTCTCGCGCGCTCTCCCACACGCACTCTCACGCACACTCACGCGCTCTCTCACGCGCACTCTCATGTGCTCTCTCACGCGCACTCTCTCACCCTATCCCACGCGCCATATCACGCGCTCTCTCACGCGCTCTCACACGCTCTTTCACGCACTCTCTCACGCGCTCTCACACGCTCTCTCACGCTCACTCTCACGCGCACTCTCCTGTGCGTGCGCTCCCGTGCACTCGCTCTTCCTCGCGCTCCGCGTCTCTCCCTTTCTTCACGAAGAGAGCTACGGAAGAGGAGACCAATCGGCACACGAAAAAAAAAACGACGAGAGCAAAAAAAGAAGAAATTTCAGAGGGGGAAGGGAGAATGAAAGGACCGGGAACGCACCTGAAAACCACGGTAACTCATGAAACAATCCGCGCTCGCGCACCAACGCGCTCGCGCACCAATGCGCTCGCGCACCAACTCGCGCTGGCGCTCGTGCACCTGTCGCCGGAGGCGACGGCGGGGAGGAGGGTGACGCGACGGCGGGGAGGAGGGTGAGGCGACGGCGGGGAGGAGGGGGAGGCGACGGCGGGGAGGAGGAGGAGGCGACGGTGGGGAGGAGGGTGAGGCGACGGCGGGGAGGAGGGTGACGCGACGGCGGGGAGGAGGGTGACGCGACGGCAAGGAGGAGGGTGAGGCGACGGCGGGGAGGAGGGGGAGGCGACGGCGGGGAGGAGGGTGAGGCTACGGCGGGGAGGAGGGGGAGGCGACGGCGGGGAGGAGGGTGAGGCGACGGCGGGGAGGAGGGGGAGGCGACGGCGGGGAGGAGGGGGAGGCGACGACGGGGGGAGGAGAGGCGACGGCGGGAAGGAGGGGAGGCGACGGCGGGGAGGAGGGGGAGGCGACGACGGCGGGAAGGAGGAGAGGCGACGGCGGGGAGGAGGGAGAGGCGACGGCGGGAAGGGGGAGAGGCGACGGCGAGGAGGGCGAAAGAGGATACGGGGGATGGGAGGGAGAGCGACGGCTGGGTGGGAGGTGCTAGCGATGGCGGGGTGTTAGGAGAAAAAGCTGAGAAGAAAATGGGGTGGGGGGGAGAGTGAGCAAGCAGGTGCTTCTCGAGAGAAACGAAGAACAAGAACCAAGAAATGAAGAGCGCGTCAAATTCGGTTTGACAGCTGTGAAAGGGACGGATATCCCTTGGTTGTGGTTGTCGTGGAGCTGGCGAGAAATTTTTTGCCAGCGCAGAACGAGGAACTGAAACTTTCAATGTACAGTATACATTGTAATATGAGGACAAGGGTGAATGGCAAGAAAAAACAAAATCTGGGCATTTGGCAATACTAAAAAAAAAATTCGCTCACACAAGACTTGAAAGCTAGTGTCACGTGAAAACACATGCGTGCCACGCCATCCCACTAGCTGACACAGCAGATACGGTACAGTAATTGCAAACATAAAACCCGCTATAGTACGCTGATAGAACTATAGAATATGCACTAGGTGTAAACAATTCATCTTTTTTATGATCACAAAAGATTTGAACCATATTAGTTAGCACTCAAAACAATTTTGAGGGAAGAAATTTCTAGAAAATGTATTTTCTCCGTAATAAGGGACTATCGATCTTGTCATGTTTTAAGTTAATATACATCATCATGAAGAACTTAGTAAACGCAGTGGATACAACCCTACGCAACCCTTTCGACGTAAACGTCGAAGCTTGTTACACAACCCGAAAGACACGCGCTCCACCTTTTATCGCGAGCGGTCCGCGCTCCCGACATTTTGACTTCAAAGTGGTAGTGTACATGTAAGTGTACGGTCATGTCGGAACTTTTTGCCAGGAACCCAACCGAGAGCCTCCAACATTGTTGGAGCCAAACCAGCGTAGTGCTGGGTTGCCAAGCCTACGTGTGACATCTCGTAATTTAGCCTACGTGTGCCATTCAGCAAGACAAAATCCTTTGAGCGCCAAATGGCAGTCATTGAAATGACAGGTTTATAAGCACGAGAGGAAGCATTTTGAGCTGCGCAGCGCGAACAAGCACCAATAGAAATGTAGGTTCGTATTGTGTGCGTTGGGTGGATCGCCTCGTCAGCTGATCTGACGCTGTTCGTTTTGAACGCCGCAGCACCGACATGAATTTGGAACACTAGACACGTCAGACCCAAGTGCCACCAACGGAACCAATCACGATCGCGCACGAATCATTTGGGGTTCAGACAGCAAGGAGTGTCGATATTCGCGGAGCATTACGTTCCGTTAACGATTAATTGATAGATAAAACATGTAAAAGTACATGTAACTTTTCTTCGTAGCAGTTGTTTGGTAGTGCGTAAAATATCTGCATGATAATATAAGTTAATAGCTCATTAATCTATCAATACAATACAGTTTCAATGTTGAACAATTTACTCAAAGTTTAGAAAATATAGCAGCATATGATTAGAGCATCGTCAAACAATTGTAGTACAAGAGATAAGCATAGCTATTGATTTTTATTGTCTCTAAATATTTAATCAGGTGGGTAATGTTATGGTCTCTCACAAGGCATAACAACGCCAATTGGGCATGGCAGAAATACGTAATGCAGGCACAACTGACCATACATTATACATATATTGAGATAACAGTGTCTGTAGCAAGGTTGATTATGCTTGTGAAAAGGTTGGCTAAAAATTAACAAGTGTAAAAGTGCTGGCAAAGGCATGATTCTTTTCGTTTACTCACTATGATGATCATGCCTCAATGCACCAGTACAATGAATAGATAAGTAAAAATAAAGTTCCTCAAACAAAAGAACAAACCTAAGTACAGTGTTGATGTCTTCAACAATAAACAAAGTACTTCACATACCGTAATCTCCCGGATACAGTACCCCCCCGCGGAGAAGACCCCGGGTCCTCTTTCCGGACCAAGGGTCTTTTATTCCGACCTGTTCTCGTGAGGACCCCCCTTTTTTAAATATATATTTTAAGACCCCCCTCCTTCGTCAAATTTTCAAATTAATGTTATATTCTTAACGAATCTGGGGGGTTGGTGATGCTCGGCTGACTCGTCATCAGGCACAAAACGGTGACGCGAGACAGTTTCGCGTCGAATTCCAGTCACGATTCGATTTTGCGTGGATTTTACTGTTGAGATTCGAATCCGCGTCAGGGGAAGAATTCAACACCCTCGGTAAAAGCTTGACTTTCCAGTGCTATGAGTGAATACTGTCAAATGTTGTAGCCTATAGTGAGGTTTGTCTTAGGGGGTACAAAACTTAGGGTTAGCTATATGTACCCCAACCAACATCAATGCATCATCCATTCTTCATTCTGACATGGTATCAGTTAGGTTAGGATCCTGTGGGATCCCGTTCCGCCGTTCTCCGTTCGTACCACCCGAGCCTGATCCTAGCTCTCGTTCGTATCGTTCCAGCTGTTACCGAGCCTAGCATCGAGCCACGCTCTCGTTCGTAGCGTAGCCCGCCCCCCCCCCCCCCGTCGCGTCGCCTTCCCCCCCCCTCGAGTCGCGCCCGTCCCTTTCCCCCTGTCGCGTCGCGCTCCCCCCGTCGCGTCGCGTCCGCGCCTTCCCCCCGTCGTGTCGCCTTCCCCCTGTCCCGTCGCACCCGCCCCTTTCCCCCCGTCACGTCGCCCTCCCCCTGTCCCGTCGCACCCGCCCCTTTCCCCCCGTCACGTCGCCTTCCCCCTGTCCCGTCGCACCCGCCCCTTTCCCCCCGTCACGTCGCCCTCCCCCTGTCCCGTCGCTCCTGCCCTCTCCCCCCGTCGCGTCGCCCGTCCCGCAGCGCCCGCCGCTGTCGCTCGCGACCGCGCTCGTCGCCGCCGCGCCTGCCGCCGTCGCCCGCCCCCTGCGCGCCTCGCTGCGGCCCCGCCGTCGTCGCCCGCCGCTGCGCGCGTCGCCGCTGCGCCCCCTGCCGTCGCCCGCTGCGCGCGCTGCTGGCCCCTGCTGCCGTACGCGCTGCCATCGCCCGCCGCTGCGCCCGTTCTCGTTCTCCGCTGCTTAGTCCCCTGTTACCTCCCGCTGTCACGCCCGCTGTGGCGTCCGCTCCTCCCCTGTCCCAGAGTACCGCCGAACCCTAATTTGCCTCTCATCTACTGCTGTCCCCTCCCTCTCCGTTCGCGTTCGTTTTCGCTATGGCGACTCAGCGTGTCCTTCGTTTCGACGCTGACGGTAGACCTCTTGATTTTTCCGTCTGGCTTCTTCGTGCTCGCCGTCTGTTAGAGAGTCAGGTCCAGGCAGGCGAGTCCCTCTGGGCGCACGCTACTGGTGCCCTACCTGCGCCCCCCGACCCTACGCCTTTAGGACCTGCCCCTGACGACGCCGCTAGAGCCCGCTTTGCCACTCAGCGAGCTGACCAGACGGCTTGGACGTCACGTGACGCTGCGGCCTGCATCGCGCTCAGCAGCCTCCTCCCTGAGTCTGAGGAGGTTCACTTCACTCAGGTTCGCACCGCTGCTGCGTACCTCACTGCGATTAAGGCCCGCTACTCTACTCCCGCTGCTGTCTCTCTTGGCCGCCTGTTCCTCCCGTTCCTGTTTCCTGACCTGGCGTCTTTTGAGCGCTCTGCTGACTTGATCGCTCACCTCCGCTCGCTCGACGCTAGTTACCGCGCTGCTTGCACTGAGGCACAGCTTGCACTGCTTCCTCCCCCTATGGCGATTACTATCTATTTCATCGCCACTAGCCTCCCTGACCGCCTTGCCTCCGTTCGCGACGCGCTTCTGCTGAAGCACCCTAGTGAGCTCACCGTCGAGGTCCTTGAGTCTGCACTCAAGGACGTCGAGAGCAACCTTCGCTCGGTAGCCGCTGCCTCTGGTGCTGTGCCCCCCCCCACTCTTCCACGGGTGCACAGTCCCGCAGTTACCCACCTTTACTGCCTCACTTGCCACTGCCGCTACTGACGCGACTGCAGCTGCTGTTACGACTGCGTCGCGGTCCCGCGGTAGGAGTGGCAAGAAAGGCGGTTCTGGTGGTGGTAGTGGAGGTGGAGGCGGAGGTAGTGGAGGTGGCGTTGCGCCTGGCGGCGGTGGAGGTTCAGGGCCTGGAGAGGCGCCTCGTGCAGTGACTGGTGACTCCACTGCGCCTGCTGGTGGTGGCGACGCCCGAGTTCGTCAGTCGCCTCCTGTACTTCCTGCCCCGGTTGGTGGAGCAGCGGCGTGGTACCAGGCTCAGCGTCAGCAGCAGCTTCTGCAGCACCAGCAGCCCCTCTCCTCCCAGCAGCCTCAGCAGCAGCAGCGGCAGCAGCTGGCTCCAGGGTCGGGGCTGCGTCAGACCCAGCGCGGTGCTGCTTACCCTCCCTGCACCTACCAGGTTCTGACAGGCACTCGTCGTGGCCACCCTTGTGGCCGGTTTCACCCCCCTGGTCAGTGCTTTGCTCAGCTCACTGACACGGTTCGTTTGGTCTACGGGGTTGGTGCTCCTGCCCCTGACTGGCTGCCTCTTGTTCAGCGCTACGGCTCCGCTCTGTGGGGCATGTCTGCTGAGCAGTTAGTTGATCTCATTGGTACTCCCCATGCTATGTATGCTGTTGTTGACTCTAGTGTTTCTGACTCTGCTTACTCTGCTGTTGTTAGCTTAGGTGCTAGCCTTGCTCAGTTGCCTGTTGCTAGTGTAGGTTCTTGTGTAGACTCTAGTCCAGCGGCTACCTCAGAGGACGGTTCGCTGTCGTTCACGCTGGACTCTGGAGCCTCTCACTGCTTCTTTCGTGACAGCACGACACTTACGCCTCTTCCTGCGCCTGTTTCTGTGGCGCTGGCTGATCCCACTTCGGGACCAGTCACCGCGCGTCACACTACCACCTTGCCGTGTCCGGCTGCTCCTTCTGGGTCTCTCACTGGGTTTCACGTCCCCTCGTTCTCCCGGAACTTGGTGGGCGTGCGACCCCTCGTGAGTCAGCACGTGGGTGTGTGGTTTGAGCCTTCTGGAGAGACTGCGGTGTGTGTTGACGGGGACTCTTACCAGCCCCTCGCCACTTTTGCTGCTGAGCCGGGCTCCGGTCTCTACACTCTTCACACTGGCCCGCGCCCTCAGCAGCGACTGCAGCAGCAGCAGCAGCCGCAGCAGCAGCGGCAGCAGCAGCGGCAGCAGCAGCCGCAGCCGCAGCCACAGCCGCCCCTCCTGCCCCCGGCCCCTGTTTTGCCCCCCGTTCGAGTCCTCGCGTCTCACCAGGTTGCTCCGTCCCCCCAGGTAGCTGTGTCTTGTCAGGTTCCTCCGTCTAGTCCGGTCGCTGCGTCGTGCTCCTGTCGGTCGCTTGCCCACCCCACCGTTTTGTGGCACCACCGGCTGGGGCACCCTTCTCCTCCTCGTCTTCGCGCTATGTCTCGTCAGCGTCTTGTCTTAGGTCTCCCGCGTGTCTTGCCGTCGCTGCCGCCGTCCCTTGCACCACCGTGCGGTCCTTGCGTCGAGGGTAGGCTGCGCGCCACCCCCCACTCCTCCTCCCTTCGTCCGGCCACCGAGCCTTTTGAGACGCTGCACTTGGACGTCTGGGGCCCCTCTCCTCGCCCTGGCCCTGAGCGTGAGCGTTTCTTTTTGGTGGTCGTTGACGACTACTCCCGCTACACCACAGTGTTCCCCCTGGCGAGGAAGTCTGAGGTGACTTCTACGCTGATCAGGTGGTTGCTTACCACCCAGGACACTCGTGGTCGTCGTGTCAGCTGTCTCCACTCCGACCGCGGGGGCGAGTTTCGCTCCGGCATTCTCGCTGGATTCTGTCGCGAACAGGGCATTCGTCAGTCCTGGACGCTTCCGGAGTCCCCACAGCAGAATGGGGTTGCTGAGCGTCGCATAGGCCTGGTCATGGAGATTGCCCGCACCTCCTTGACTCACGCCCGTGCCCCCCATTTCCTGTGGCCATACGCGGTCAGGTACGCCGCGCACCAGCTGAACCTCTGGCCACGCGTCTCTCGGCCGGAGGCTTCACCGACCAGTCTTTGGACAGGGTCCCCTGGTGTCGCGTCGAGGTTTCGTGTCTGGGGGTGCTTGGCTCTTGTCCGCGACACCTCCGCGGACAAGCTCTCGCCTCGCGCCGTTCCTTGTGTCTTCCTTGGTTTCCCTGAGGACTCCTCTGACTTCACCTTTTACCACCCTCCCTCTCACCGGTTCTTTGACTCCCGTGACGTCCGTTTCGAGGAGTCCACCCCCTACTACGTCAGGTACCCCAGTCGAGGTCTCCCGGTCCCTCCCCCCCCTCTCTTCCTGACCGCCGCTCCCCCGCCTGCTCCCCCGGTACAGCCTCCCCCCCCTGGTCCAGCCCCGTCTGGTGTGTCTCAGGCTAGCCCTCCCCCTTCGGTAGCCCCCCCTGTACAGCCTCCCTCCCCACAGTCTTTCTTGCCGCCTCCTGCAGGTGCTCCCTCTCGAGAGGTTGGTCCTGCGACTGTCCCTGTACAGGTCTCTGGTTCTGGGGGTGCTGGAGTTGGAGCTGAGCCGCGGGTTGCAGAGGACTCTTGTCTTCCGGGGGCTGGTACTGGTCGTGCGGAGTCTGGGGGTGCTGGTGCGGAGTCTGGGGGTGCTGCGTCTGGGGGTGAGGGTGTCCCTTCGGTTTCTGGAGAGCCTGGGTCTGGAGCTGGTGTTGGTGCTGCCTCTGGGGGTGGTGTGCTTGGTGCTTCGGAGGTCGACTCTGGGGCTGCCGCTGCCCCGGACACTACTCCTTCCCCCCACCCCTACCCGACCAGGTTCCAGGCTCGTGTTCGCCGTGCTCGTGAGGAGCAGCTGGAGTTGGAGAGAGAGGAGAGAGAGTTGCAGCGGCTCGAGGAGCAGGAGCGACAGCAGCAGGAGCAGCAGCAGGAGCAGCAGCAGAGGCAGCAGCCGCTGGAGCAGCAGCAGCCGCAGCAGCCGCAGCAGCAGCAGCAGCAGCTGCTGCCGTCTCCTCCTCCTGTCTCGGGTCTTCGGACCCTTGGTCTCCCGTCTCCCTCTCCTTCCTCCTCCCCCTCTCCTCCCGTCTCTGGTCCTCCGCTTCCTCCTCCTGACCCCTCTCCCGCTGTTTTCCCTCGTTCTCAGTCTTCGTTGTCTCCTCCTCCTTCTCAGACTTGGGCCTCTCGTCGCTCCCCTCGTGCTCGTCCCTCGTCTCCTGTTCCCTTCACTGACCTTCGTACAGCCTTCCTTTGTTCTCGTCCACCTCGTCCGTCTCCGTCTGTGCTTCCGTCTCCTCCTGAGTCGGCCCTCACTGTGTCGCTTCCTTCTCCTGTCACTGACTACTACCGCACGTACCGTCCTGTTCTCTCTCGTGTTCTCGCCTCTCTTGTTACCCACCCTCGTGCCTCTGTGTCCTCTGTGTCCGCTCTTACTGCCGCAGTCACTGAGTTTGCCTCTACCCGCCGCCTTGACTTCGCCACCGCTCTTGTGGCTGCTCCTCCTTCCAGTCCTCTGGCCGTCGGGGGTGTGTCTGCCCTTGGCAGTGACGCCCTAGAGGACAGGCAGTTTGAGCTAGAGTTCCTGGCGGCCGCTTCCCCTCATCTCTGTGCCATGCTCCTCGCCCCTGAGGGTGACCCCGACGCCCTTGACATTCCGACTCCTCGCACTTACGCTGAGGCAGTGTCAGGGCCTTGGGCCTCTCAGTGGAGAGCTGCCATGGACGCAGAGATGGCCTCCTACAGATCCACAGGCACCTACGTCGATGAGGTTCCCCCTCCGGGGGCGAACGTAGTCGACGGCATGTGGATCTACAGGGTGAAGCGGCCACCGGGATCTCCTCCGGTCTTCAAGGCGCGCTACGTGGCTAGAGGTTTCAGTCAGCGCGAGGGAGTTGACTTCTTTCAGACCTTCGCGCCCACCCCGAAGATGACCACTCTTCGGGTGTTACTACACGTAGCAGCACAGAGAGACTACGAGTTACACTCTCTCGACTTCTCTACTGCTTTCCTTCAGGGCAGTCTTCACGAGGAGGTCTGGTTGCGTCGTCCCTCTGCCTTCACTGGCTCTTTCCCTCCTGGGACCCAGTGGAGGCTGAGGCGACCGGTTTACGGTCTTCGTCAGGCTCCTCGTGAGTGGCACGACACCCTGCGTTCTACCCTGTCTGACCTTGGGTTCCAGCCGTCTTCTGCTGACCCGTCGCTGTTCGTTCGTCGTGGCCCCACACCTTTCTTTGTTCTGGTCTACGTTGACGACCTTGTTTTCGCCACCCCTGACAGGGTTGCTTTGGCACACGTGAAGTCCGAACTGCAGAAGAGACACACCTGCATTGACCTGGGTGAGCTGCGCCACTACCTTGGCCTGCAGATCACCAGGGACAGAGCTGCTCGCACCATTACACTTTCACAGTCGCACATGGTGCAGCAGGTCCTTCAGCGGTTCGGGCTTCAGCACTCCACAGTACAGCGCACACCTCTTGCTGTTGACCACAGACTCACTGGACCCTTTCCTGATGAGCCGTTCGAGCCTAGTGGTCCCTACGCAGAGCTTGTGGGTTGCCTCATGTACCTGATGACTTGTACTCGCCCGGACCTCGCCTTCCCTCTCAGCGTTCTTGCGCGCTTTGTTGCGCCAGGGAGACACCGTCCTGTTCACTGGACAGCAGCTGTGAGGGTGGCGAAGTACCTAGCGACGACATCAGGCGTGGGGCTAGTTCTTGGAGGACAGCAGTCTGTCGTACTTACTGGTCACTGTGACTCCTCTTACGCTGACGACGCTGAGACTCACAGGTCTACTCAGGGGTACTGTTTCAGCCTGGGTTCTGGAGCTGTTTCCTGGCGGTCCACGCGCTCCTCTTCGGTCTCGACCTCTACAGCTGAGGCTGAGATCTACGCTGGTGCCATGGCGGCACAGGAGCTGCGTTGGTTGACCTTCTTGCTCACCGACCTTGGTGAGCGGCCGAGCTCTGCACCGACCTTGTTCACTGACAACAAGGCGTCTATTCTCCTTTGTCGAGAGCCACGACTGGAGAGCAGAGTGAAGCACATTCACGTCAGGTACTTTCTTCTGCGAGAGTTGCAGAGGCGTGGACAGGCTCGCTTTGAGTTTGTGGAGTCAGAGGCCAACACTGCAGACATCTTCACCAAGGCGCTTCCGCCTTGTGACCACCAGAGGTGCTGTGTGCAGTTAGGCCTTGTTGACACTGGTTCTCGTGTTGCTTAGACTTGAGTGTACTGTTTACTTTGCTTTCTATATATCTCTGTTACTTCTTGGACTGGCCTTGTGGCCACTGTTGTTTGTGCTCAGACTGTGTGGTGACGTTGTGATCCACCCTGAGCTTTGTTTCTTGGACTGGTCTTGTGACCGTACTCGTTTGGTTCTGCTAGACACCCCTCACTTAGGCTATGGGGGTGTGTCAAATGTTGTAGCCTATAGTGAGGTTTGTCTTAGGGGGTACAAAACTTAGGGTTAGCTATATGTACCCCAACCAACATCAATGCATCATCCATTCTTCATTCTGACAAATACATTGTGCTCTATGAATTCTTAATGTGTTCAGGGGTCTTAGTAAATATGCCCCTTGGTATTGTTCACCTAATCATTATTCACAACATTTCTGATAAGACCCCCGGGTCCTATATACGGGAGATTACGGTACAAGATCACAATATGTGCATTTCCCCCCCAAAACCATGGAGTTGCAAAATTTTGCAAATGAGTGATCAACAGTTTTCCACTGTATAACAAAATGGAACTGAGTGTTATAATAAATGACTTGTTTATGAACTTGTTTTTTTTTCTCAAAAGTTGGGTGCTGTTTATTTTGTTAAAAATACTCCCTCCTAATATGTAGTTACAATCTACTGATGATTTTTTCGTTGTGAAACGGTCGCTGTATATAGTATCGAGCACACAAATAATGCCTTCTTACCACATCAGCATGCACTTGAACAACTTCACTTCGATAGTATGACGCGGCGCTAAACCAATGGCTGATACGTTCTCAAAGTGTTACGGATCAGCTTTTTAACACGGCTTCAAATGTTCCGCGTGGCAAGAGCTGGAAGGAAACGACTGAGTGCCACATGGGCGCAGCACTACAGTACATGCGATCTGCGTGGTGTAAAAGTCAGTACAGTGAATATTAGCAGACCAATCGCATTGCGACACGCCTAAGCCCACACAACTGTACTGTCTGATACAGTGATCCGCAGCACTTTGTCGAGCCTGTTCGCGCTCGAACCTGTCCGAACCTGTTATCCACACTTTGAGGAACGAAATGACCAATCGGCTAACACTGAGTGGCAGTTATGTTCGATGTCACCCAGCAAACTGCCCACCGACAAATTGGAACCCCCTCCAAAAAAAAACTCGTAAAGTGATTAAATGACGCGAAATGGGGGGAGTGCGTGCCGCTCGCGACAGAAGGTGGAGTGTGTGTCTTTCGGGTTGTGGAAAATTTTGAGCGCGATAAGAAAAATTCACGAGACCAAAACCCGCGCCGCGGCAATTCTCTCTTCCATCCAATTCCCATGTCGCGGCTTGGATGCAGGATTCCCCTTCCCTCCCACCACCGACCGACCACCACGCCACATTTTGCGTGTGCAATCGATGGAAGGCTTATAGAACCCGCGACTTCCCACATTGTTAGCACAGACAACTCATTCGTTTCGCCAAACACTCTTGAAGCGTTTCTCGCCGCATTTGCCCTCCTTTTTGGCACTCGTCTCCTCGTCACCACCAGCAATTCACGTGCGACAGCTATTCTACGCTAGCTATGTCGACTACTCGTTTGCTCTGGGCGCTTCTGGCGATTCTCGCCCTCTCATGTAAGGCCTTGTTATCCAGTCACCGCAACACGGTGTTCCAATTCACAGTCTGGTTTCTTTCTCAGCTTTGTTTTCTACGCATGTCAATCTCGACGCATGTACGAATCCCGTTCCCTGCTAAACTCCCCCATGCTTCGTGAATCCCCTGCTGCTTGTTCTCCGTTCCTTCAGGCCAATGTGACGCCAGAATGCTCCAAGCAGTCCCCGCCATTCCCGCCGACCCCGCCATACCTGCCGACACTACCAAACCCCCCAATCCCACCAACCCGGTCACCATCACGAATCCCATCGTTCCCGCCGTCGAGCCGCAGACCGTGGAAATTACCGACATTCCCGAAGCTAGCCGAACCCGAAAGCGAGAGGCCCCGCTGGTCACAAGGTCGATGCGCCCACTCCCAAGGGCAAGGCCCCCGGCGGAAAGGCTGCCCCCGGCGGAAAGCAGGCGCCGGGCGGAAAGCAGGCGCCAGGCGGAAAGCAGGCGCCAGGCGGAAAGCAGGCGCCGGGCGGAAAGCAGGCGCCAGGCGGAAAGCAGGGGCCGGGCGGTAAGCAGGCGGCTGGCGGAAAGCAGCAGGGCGCAGGCGGCGCCGGCGCAATTCGCGGACCGAAGGCGCATCCCGCCCCCAGCCCCGCCCCAAGCCCCGCCGCTGGTCCCGCGCCCGGTCCCGCGGTCGCACCCAGTCCCAGCCCCGCGGAAAATAAGAAGAAGCCGCTGGGGCGGGAGGTGGGGAAGGTGGAAACCGTCTTCCGCGGATCGTCTGTCATCACCGCAGCCGGCGGCGACGCGAACGCGACGGGAAACGCGATCCTGACCGTGTATAAGAGCGGCGCGAAGATGAACGTGCGGTATGTCCTATCCGTGCGCCGCGTGTCGGCGGCTGGGCTGCCTATGGGCGCGACGATTAACAGCGGCGCGAGCAACGCGACGGGACCCGTGGTGGTCGATTTCGCGGGAGCTGATTGGGTGAATACGACGGGCGTCGTTCGCACGCAGGCCGGCGACGTCGTTCTCGCGTCGTCCGTCGCAGAGAACGCGACGGACGCGGATGCCGCCGAGGCCGCAGACGACTATCTCAGCTATGCGACGACTGGAGTGTGGGAAGACGTCGCCAGCAATCGCACAACCTCTGGCGAAGCCCTTTCCACCGTGTTCGAGAGAATTCTGGCTGACCCGGGCAGCTTTTACCTGGTTGTGTCAACCCCGAATTTCAGCGAGGGCGCTGTGCGCGGACAGTTGCGCAAGGGCACTGGCGCAACTGTGCTTCCGCCCGGCCATCAGCGCCAGTGGGAGCAACGGGGGAAGAAGCAGACGGGTAAGGGAGAGAAGGCGAAAGCCCCCCGCAACTAGCCCTTCTCAACCGAACAGTACACCTCTTGTTACTGTCCGATAGTGTAGAAATCGTTTACAAGATCCATTCCCTGTTTGGGTCGTAGCCCCCTTTCATAGGTTTATATATACATGGGCATGTCTTATCTTTGCCTGGTACTACGATTTTTGGTTGTCCTAAATGCAATCTCCTTGTAGTACAAGCCAAGCGGGAAGCAAAAGGGACAAGTCTTTGGCCTCGTCAGCACGACTGCATGTGATGTGATGGGCATGTTGTGTCAAGGTTTGCTCATGGCACGGCGTGCCGTCAGATGCATGGAAATGCCGTTAGATGCATGGATAGGTGCCTTGCCATCCATGCGAAGTTTCGCTATAAGTGGGAGCGGATGCTGGTTCGGCAGCTGCACTTAGTCGAGATGCAACCTGCGCAGTGGAGAAAACACTTTGATACCTACAATGCTTAATAAATACTCCATACACAAATACTGACAGATACCAACGAACACCTAAGCTGCTTACTACATTGCTATTAGAAACACTCACCTCTCAACTATGCTTGACGCGGAAACCTCTGCTCCTCAAGAGACGGCCTTACAAGGGAGGTCATGATATCTCAATCACGGGCATTTCCCCTCCTCTGCTCCCTCCCCCTCTGCCGCCTACTGCTCCTCTTACCCTAGACTCCCCAACCTCCCTTGCAACCCTCACCACCCATTCCTCATCCACCTCCTGACACCGCGCCAGCTGGCACCTCGCGATTCGCCCGCAGCCCTGCAGCACGCGCACGACGCCGTGTGTGGTAACCCCGTTACAAGCGCGGAGGGAGAGAGTGGAGAGCAGCGGGCAGTGCGAGGCGATGGTGTGAAGGAGGAGGTCGGAGAGATGGGTAGCGCGGAAGCCAGAGAAGCAGATGTGCTGCAGGCGATGGCACGACTGAATAAGTGGGATTAACCCCGTCTCTGATATCTCCCTACAAGCAGAAAGGAGGGGAGGGGAAAGGAGGGAGGGAGGGAGGGAGGGAGGGAGGGAGGGAGGGAGGGAGGGAGGGAGGGAGGGAGGGAGGGAGGGAGGGAGGGAGGGAGGGAGGGAGGGAGGGAGGGAGGGAGGGAGGGAGGGAGGGAGGGAGGGAGGGAGGGAGGGAGGGAGGGAGGGAGGGAGGGAGGGAGGGGCATGTGAGTCGCCCTGCGTGGTAACCCCATTACAGGCGTGGAGGCGAGGCGATGGTGTGAAGGAGGAGGTCGGAGAGGTGGGCAACACGGAAGCCAGAGAAGCACATGCGGTGCAGGCGATGGCACGACTGCACCAGCGGGATGAGCCCTGCTTCTGAGATCTCCCTGTGGGTGGGCAAAGGGGAGGGAGTGAGGGAGGGACGGACGGAGGGCATGCGCGATGCTCTGTGTGGTTACCCCGTACCAGGTGCGGAGGGAGAAAGTAGTGACCCACACACAGTGGCTTTGAGGCGCCTCAAGAGAGGAGAGCAGCGGGCAGGGGGGAGGGAGGGAGGGGAGGGACGGAGGGAGGGACGGAGGGAGGGGGGAGGGGAGGGACGGGGAGGGAGGAGGGAGGGAGGGAGGGAGGGAGGGAGGGAGGGAGGGAGGAGGAGGGAGGGAGGAGGAGGAGGGAGGGAGGGAGGGAGGGAGGGAGGGAGGGAGGGAGGGAGGGAGGGAGGAGGGAGGGAGGGAGGGAGGGGAGGGAGGAGGGGAGAGGAGACAGGGGAAGAGGGGAGGAGGGAGAGGGGGGAGAGGGGAGAGGGGAGGAGAGGGGAGGGGAGGGGAGGAGAGGGGAGGGGAGGGGAGGGGAGGGGAGAGAGGAAGAAGGAGGGAGGGGAGGAAGAGGGGAGGGGAGGAGAGGGGATGAGAGGGGAGGAGAGGGTAGAGAGGGAGGAGAGAGGGAAGAGAGGGGAGGAGAGGGGATGAGAGGGAGGAGAGAGGAGAGGGGAGGAGAGGGGAGAGAGGAGAGGGGAGGAGAGGGGGAGGGGAGGAGGGGGAGGAGAGGGGAGGAGAGGGGAGGGAGAGGGTAGGAGAGGGAACGAGAGGGGAGGAAAGGGGAGGAGAGGGGAGGAGAGGGGAGGAGAGGGGAATGTTGAAGGAAAGCTCCTTCAGCACTGCACCCAGCACCATCGCACTACACCGCAACGCAACGCACCTGCAGTACTCAACGGCGAGTGTGGAGAGGCGGGGGCAGGAGGCAGCAGCGAGCAGCAGGAACCCTCCAGGTGCAAGCTCTCTACCCCACTCCACCCCACCTCACCACCCCAGCACCGCACTGAACCGCACTGAACCGCACTGAACCGCACTGAACCACTCTGCACCCGGCATCACCACAGTCCCACAGCTTACTTGCAGTACTGACTGCGAGTGTGGAGAGGCGGGGGGCAGGAAGCAGCAGCGAGCAGCAGGAAGGAATCGGAGAGCCCATCCAACCCCTCCAGGTGCAGGCTCTCCACCCCACCTCACTCCACCCCAGCACCGCACTGAACCGCACTGAACCACACTGCACCCGGCATCACCACAGTCCCACAGCTTACCTGCAATACTCCACGGCGAGTGTGGAGAGGCGGGGGCAGGAGGCAGCAGCGAGCAGCAGGAAGGAATCGGAGAGCCCATCCAACCCCTCCAGGTGCAAGCTCTCTACCCCAGCACTCCCCAGCACCGCACTCAACCGCATTGCACCCAGCATCACCTACACCGCATCACACCGCAACGCACCTGCAGTATTCCACAGAAAGTCTCAAGAGGCGGGGGCAGGAGGCAGCAGCGAGCAGCAGGAAGGAATCGGAGAGCCCATCCAACCCCTCCAGCTGCAGACTCTCCACCCCGCTCCACCCCAGCTGCAACAGTGGCAGCACATGTGACTGTAGCCTGTGTGACCGTGAACCGTTGTGACTGTATGTCATGGGCGTGCGTGTCAGGTGGTTGTAAGGGGTGTGCCGGTGTGTCAGCGGATTGTGCAGGATGTGAGTGCGTGCCGGGTGACTGTAAGGGATGCATTTGTGTGTCTGGTGACTGTAAGGAATGTGTGTGTGTGTCGGGTGACTGTACGGCATGTAACTGCAGCACATGCGTTTGCAGCAGATGTGACTGTGACCCATGGGGTGGCAGCACATGCGTTTGCAGCAGATGTGACTGTGACCCATGGGGTGGCAGCACATGCGTTTGCAGCAGATGTGACTGTGACCCATGGGGTGGCAGCACATGCGTTTGCAGCAGATGTGACTGTGACCCATGGGGTGGCAGCAACACAGGAGCACCAGGCCCCGCTGCCGAAACCGGGACAAAAGAGGCCGCCCGAGAAGCAGGTGGAGACAAGAAGAGTGAGGGAGTACATCCCAGCACGTCTCTTGCGAGCTGCAGGCCAGTAAATCCGGGGCTCCATTTGAGTTGCAGCGATCGCAGGCTCACTCCATGCACCACCACTGCCCGCAGACTCTCATCTGTCACCCTCGCTGCTCCACTGCTACCACCCACCCCCGTTCCTCCCCCTCCTCTCCCTCCTCTTCCTCCTCCCCTTCCTTCTCCTTCTTCCCTTTCTCCCCGTCCCTCTCCTCCGTCTCCCCCTCCCTCGCACCCACTGAGGGTCAGAAAGTTGATCCCCAGGCAGCCTTTCAGGAGAGCCACAATACCGCGGTCACTCACACCCTCACAGTCTACTATTTCCACGCTCTCCAGCGGGGCAGCTGTTCGGGCAGCGGTCAGAGAAAAACCGGTCAAGTGGGTCCGGGCAGGCCATGACGGTCAGCCTGCGCAGGGCGGGCAGCTGCCCGGCAAACATTTCCAGCCAATGAGCATCGAGCGCACAGTTGATGATTTTCAAGGAGGACAGGTTCGGGAAGGATGCAGCGAGACTGCCTCCCCTTCCTGCTGCTGCTGTCCCGTCTGCTCCTAATTGTACCTCTGCCCCCGCCCCTGCCTCTCCTCTCGCTCCCACCGCCGCACCCCACCCATCCTCCTCATTCGCCCCCTCACTTGCCCGCCTTGTGCCTGCCCCATCTGCCCCATCCATCTCATTCGCCATCCTCACCGCCCCTTCCTCCTCACCTGTCCGCCCTAAGCTCTCTTCCGCCCTGTCTCCCTCTCGCCCCTCCCCACCCTCCATTCCGCCAGCCCCCCTCTCCGCCTCTTCCCCCCCTCACCCATGCGCACATCCTCCCCTGCCCCGCCCCCTTCCCGTTCTGCTTCCCCTTCTGCTGCTCCCCCATCCAAGCTCACTCTCCCTTCCCCCAACCCTTCCCCCACCCCCCCCCCCCCCCCCCGCCCCCCCCCGCCCCTTCTCCCTCCGCCCCTTCTCCCCCCGCACTCTCCCCGCCAGGCGCGCTGCGCGCTTTCTTCGCCACGACGGACAGACTCAGATCTTCCAGAACCATCCCCTCCAATCCGGGACACGTCACCGCCAGCTCAGCAAACCCGCCGCCACTCACGTTCGGACAGCTGGCGATCGAGATCTCCTTCAGCGCGGCGCACTTGGCCACGTGGCGCAAAAACCCGTCCGTTAAGTGCGTGCACTTATACACCGTCACTTTGCTAAGCGCCGGGTGACCCTCAACGCATTTCCAAAACTCATCCGCGGAAGGCATGGGGTCGTGCATCTCAATGTGACGAATGCTACGCCCCCACGTGGCGATCGTATCGCACATGTACGTTCTCAACCCCTGGTGAACCTCAAACTCCCCGCAGTTGCAGATACAGAGATATTCTACCTGCGTGCCGGCTACCTGTTGGATCTGCAGGGGAGTGTTGAGAGAAAGGAGCCGCACAATGGCGGATCCGTCTAGAACATCCGCGTCGCTGATGGGAAACGCGGGGACGGGGGCAGGCGGAGCGGAGGCCGCGGCCGCCGCGGCGCCTTGAGGTTCGCTCCGCGGAGTTCCTCCCCCCCTTGTAGTAGTAGCCGCTGTTCCGCCTCCCCTGCCCTTGTTCCGCCTCCCCCTGCCGCTGTTCCGCCTCCCCCTGCCCTTGTTCCGCCTCCCCCTGCCGCTGTTCCGCCTCCCTCTGCTCCTGCTTCGCCTCCCGCGGCAATACCTGTTCCGCCATCCCCCACCCCTGTTACTCCCCCGCCCGCCCTCCCCCTCCGCCCGGGCGCTTGTGGTGGCGGTCCTCCGCGCGCTGCACCCGCGGCGCCCCCGCAAGCACGGTGGGGCCGAAGAAGCGGATGCGCAGCGTGCGGATGAGAGGGAAACGGCGCAGCACGAAGCGGAGTTCCGCTGCGCTGACCTGCGGGCAATGATTCGGGCGGGGGTGGGGGCGGAGGGGGGTTAGGGGGGAGGAGGAGGAGGGGAAATATGGATGGGACGATGGGGACGGGGGGATGGAAATTGGGTAACAAACGACACTGGCCCTAAATTTTAGGGTTTCAACGCGATTATCTGCATTAGATGGATGGGGAATGGTGTGTGTCTTATCGCGCATGAGGTTTAAATGCAGAGTCTGCACGTTATTACAATGCCGCAGCCGCGGAAGCGATGGGTCCTTCAAGCGATTTACCTCGCTCTGCATGTAATGCGGCAGCAGTCGCTCGTAGCGAAACCACAAGCGACACACGAGCGACACGGAGCATCGGTCTGCGACGGACAGATGCGAAAAGATCTTCGCGATCACGTCACGCGGCAGCTTGTGGATCGCCGCCGGCTCGTACGCCGGCCATGGCGGCGGGTGCCTCGGTGGTTGGCTCGGTTGTAGGCTCGGAGGCTGGTTTGGAGGGTGCCGCGGCGGTTGGTTCGGTGGATAGGTTGGAGGAAAGCGAGTCTGGTCGTGCTGGGATGGTTGCGAGGACGGCGGCGGAACCATGATAGTCACGCTACAGCTACTAACGGAACCTAGAGTCACTGTAAAGAGGGTGATAGTACGGTACTACTAACGACAGTGAAAGTAAAGAGGGTGTGCTACGAGTGATGAAGTTTAAGGACGACAACTTTAATATCTGCTAATTGGGGTGAGATCCGATGGAAGAGTGGGACAGGGAGAGAGAGGAGATCCGTGAATGGAGAAAGGTGGCACTACTATTCCAAAGCGGTGCATGAAAGCTCTACCGTGGTGGATGCGGTAAGGAGGGAGTCGCGCTCCACTCCACCACCACCCACTGGCAGTTCCCTAGGTCACCCGTAAGCTGTTCCTAGGGAACTGGTGATACCGATTTCCGAATCCCGATTCTCGATTCCCGAAAATACCGTAAAATCTAACCTCTGACTCGCTCTCCTCGGCGAATGAGAAGTGAGTCTCAGTTGACGAGGATCCGTGATTACCTGCCACACCATCCTCAGCGGCGCATGTTTGGGAGTGACGCATCACACACACCACTCCACCCCACCACCGCCTAGGGAATTGTTGTTAGTGTAGTGTACTGTACCGAAAACTGGTTCCTCTCAAAATGCCGCAAGGAACCAGGAGGAATTGTTGTTAGTGTACTGTAGTGTATGATGAAATGAAACGTGATGGGATGAGATGAGACGAAAGTCCATCGCACGGGTCGGTGGAGGCTGGATGATGCGTCCACCCACCCACCACCGCATACAACAAGCCCGCCAACAGTTACACTGTAGAGCCACTAGCGCTGCATCAGCAGCAGCTGCCATGCCATGCTGTGCCATGTGGTCTGGCTGGTATCAAGCGCGTCCCACGTGGTTACTTACAAGTTACGTTAACCACGGTTTTAGATGGTTGATTGCATTCTGTAACGGTGCATAATGCTGCTTCATAATGTCTAGCTAGGCCGTCAGTGGCGGAACGTGCGGGATATCATATCACCTTGCACGTGTAGGTATAATCGATAACCCGTTACATGTATCGTAATAGGGAATGAAACAACAAGAAAAATTACAACATAAAAGTAGTGTTATGAGCTATAATCAAGGGTGCGTAATACACCGCGAGCAAAGGCATGGGCGAAAAATAGAGAGCGGAACCTGCAAATGAAAATACACACAGGCGAGCTAGGCTCTACTATGCTGGCATCAAGGTTGTGGCTATTCCCAATGCGTACGACATCAAATAGCAGCGCATGGTTCGGCAAAAGCGGGCACGAGATGTGACAAGCGATATTACCCGGTAACAGTCGAAGAATGGTCGGCCACGTGAAGAGTGTTGTACGCGGTGAATCAAGTGCAATATAAGGATAATAATATGTGATATAAAGAGTGTTCTGCCCCTCTTCAAGGAAGCTCTCTGCTTAAGTTAGTAGGTATACGTTTGGCTTTGGAAATAATTTGTGGGCAAATGAAAGAAGACTCACGTCATGGAGTATTAAATACTACACACCGTTCATCCCAGAAATTTTTTTCGCAAAATTTACGGCTCCATAACTACTCATTGAGGGCAGGGGGCAACCTAATATTACCTAAAACAACCAACTATCTTCAGTTGGCATCAGGGCTCTTGCTAGGATCTGAGGGCGTCTGATTCTGTCAGACGGGTCCCCCAGGCAAAACAATTGTTTGGTCTGATCTAGATTGGAAAATCAAATGGATATAAAATAATGAGTCTGAAAATCAGACCATCAGACCAAAATGGTCTGATAACGAGAGCCCTGGTTGGCATGCGGTCCTTCCAACGAGCTAACAACTTGATCCGCCAACAAGCCAGCACCGCACGCGCATGCCAACAGCATGTGCGCCAGCCGCACCGTGTATGCCAGCAACGCACGTATGCCCGATGGCGCACTAACAGCAGCGCATGCCAGCCCGCTGCTACCAGCGCACCATCGGTGCATGCACCCCTACCTGCCAGCCACCAACGCACGCTGCCAGCCAGCATGTACGCTAGTTCACCCATCCCCTCCCTCCCCCACCAGCAGCAGCATCCGCCAGCTTTCTACTGCCACACCTAGAGCAGCTTGCAGTCAGCATGCGCTAGCAGAGTGCTTCATGCCCCTCTCCACCCGCTCGCCAGCAGCGCGTTTGAGAGCAGCCCACTCCCAGCGTGCTGTGGGGAGTTACATTACAACTGATAGACTGGACTGTATGGGAAGGCACGGGTTGTTTAGGTGATCGTAGCTTTGCTTGTGTTATCTGCACTTGTGTGTGCAAAAGAAATTAGCAAGAGTTTCAATAGCAAAAAAGAGCAATAATGCACAATATTTTGACAAAGGTGAGTTGACCAGAGTGCTAACAACCAAGAAAGCAAGCAAGTCGGCCTCAAGCGCAGCACTAGGGCGCATTGCCAATGCAGCAAAGTCAGGGACGTGCCAACGCAGCTGGGAGGTGGCTTGCCAGCACCACAAGCTGATGACCCCAACTTCGGATGAGCTTTTTAACTCTTCTTTTATTGTCTCTAGCCTCCTGTGGTCACTACCCCCGCTCCCTCCTTTGTCTGCTCCTCCATGCACGCCCCTACGAGGGCATACATGTCGTGCACATGATGCACATTTTGCAAGTGCCAGATTCTAGAGCACATGATGCTCGTCCCTCACATCGACTTTCGCCAAAACCGTATGGGGGTCGCAGTTTGCGAAGACCAGTCAGTTGGCAGACTAAAAGAGGCCGCTAAGCTGGCGCCGGTATCCGACGATCATTCGAGTCCTATACACCTGGGCTCCGGTAATTTCAGAATGTGGGCACCGAGCCGCGTCCTTGTCGTTTTGCCCTGGGGTTGAAATTGGGGGGAACAAAAAAGTTCCCTCTAATTTCAACACTCTCACGAAAGATTTCGGGGTTTCGGACTCTTCTGAACGGAGCGAAAGCGGTTTTATTCGGTTAAAGGTATCGGAGGGTTGTTGGGAGGACCGAACCGCTCTCAACCAGGAGCCACAGATGACGACAGGGGCCTTGCAATTAGGGGGAATGAAATTATTGGAGCCCAGGTGTAGTTTGGCGCCATGTCGATGATCGCCACGTCGACCTTTGAGGTTCGACGCCTTATGCTGACTTCACTTCGACGGCCATATCAAAGTTGGCGCAAAGATTAACTCTACGATGGGAGTTAGACTATGGAGAGAGGCACGGTTGTGAGAGTGATCATAGCGTCTCTTAGCGTTTGCTCGTGCTCTCCATGCGCGCACATTCTTAGGAATGATCGGCAAGAGTTTCACTAGCAAAATTTCTCAACAATGTTGACAATAATATTGACAAAGTGGACTACATCAGATGGAAGGCTGCCTAGCATGCAATAGGCCGATCTCCAACGCAGCATGGTCGACAGCGTTCCGATGCAGCAAAGTCCGCACCGCTCCAGCATTGCAAAAAGGCGGTTTGCCTCGAAATCGGCTATCCGCAGGTCGACGAAGCCCTTCGCCGACCACACCAGTAAAGGTTGACCGCCGGCTTTCCGTCGTCGGCGGCTTCGCAGTGGCTCCGTGCTGGTCGAACAAGTTCATCGACTCGCTCGCCTAAGTCGGCGTCACCCACTGCACTCGGTCGACTACACCTCCCGCACATCCGACAACGAACTCGGCTCCGCCCTAGCGAGGACAGGGCTAACACCTAACTCCCTTTGCAGGCTTCGCCCAAGCGAAGGCAAGGCCTTTTCTCTTTTGTAGACATTGTGTGCGCGTGTGCCCAAACTTGAACCGGGCAAGGGAGTGTTGTTGACGAGAAAAGCCAACGCCCTCAGCTGTACAATTTCGGTATCCGGCGTGCAAGTTGTCTGCGTTTCAGGCAAAGAAGTGCCTGGTTAACTAGACTCATTCGTCAATGTCGGTTGGATCCTCGAGGCGAGTACAATGAATCTGACAAGGTGTTGGCTGACGATGTCAAGTCGGCGGGCGACATCGAGCCTCCGTGGTCGACAAAAGTGACCGACGATGGGTGATAAACCGCGGTTGTCGGCAGCGTTGGTAGAGCCGCCCCTCTCTGGTCGACCGAAGTTCCTAATTTGCAAATTTTTACATGTGTGCGAATTCTGCCGCATACGTTTTGGCAAAAGACGACTCGCGATAGTGGCATCACAACCTTGCACTACGCAGTGTGCATCTCGTGCATGGCATACACATCCATCTATTGAGCAAACCTACACCTACTTGGTAGGTGAAGCACATGTGCACACATGTTTATCAGCGACTTTATTGCTGACTAACCAGCTTGGTGCAACGCTATCATTTCGCCCTGTTGCAGTAGTTATACGCCACCTTCTTGTTACATTGTCAAGCTGCTTTTGCTCTGCGTTAAAAAGTTGTTGTTCCAGGTTGCTAGGTGTATAGTGTAATACATAGTTGATTTATGAGATTCCTTATGATTGTATACTTGTTGTTACAACATTTCAAATCAAAACTCTTGTTGATACATATGAGCACAACAATAACATATATGGGCAGTCGGGGTGACGGGGGCACCTTAGGGAGTGCGGTGGGATGGGGTGCAGCCAGGGGAGATCGGAGCATCCTAGGGCACATAGTAGTCAAGGGGGCAGCAGGAGGTGACCAGAGCACCCAGAGAGTGCAGCAAACTGGGGGCCAGCCAGACGTGACTGGAACACCACAGGGTTTGCAGCAAGCTGGGGGGCAGCCTGGGGTAACTGGAGCACATAAGGAGCGCAACAGGGTGGGGGACAGCCAGGGGAGACCGGGGCACCCCAGAGAGTGCGGCAAGCTGGGGGGCAGCCAAATTAGACTAGAGCACCACAGGGTGTGTAGCAAGCTGGGGGGCAGCCAGGGATGACGGGGGAAACCCAAGGAGCGCAGCAGGCTGGGGGTCAGCCGGGTATGACTGGGGCACCCAAGGAGTGCCGCCAGCTTGGGGGGGAGTTGGGGGCGACATGAGCACCCGGCTAATATGGGGGGCCAGTGTGTGGACACCCCACACATGCTCCCAGATTTCGTTACAGCCGTGGCTCTGGCCGAGTTTTCAGGGGTGGCGGAG